AAATACAAATTATTATAACACACCACAATGGAAATGGGAAATGAGTAAAGCTTTGGCATGGAGTCCTTGCTGCGTGAATGTAGAATAAGTAGCTGCGTTCAGAGATGTAAGTAGAAATACAGCTGCAAATTTCAGCCAGGAGAAAATGTCCAACATGAATAACATTCTGACTGGTTTGCAGCACGTCAGCTGTTAGTGCTTATGTCACAGTGATCCTACTTATCCTTGTTCTCCAGTTGGGGCATTTGAGTTAATGTTCTACTGCACAGGTTATGTGCAATTTCCATTTCAAAAGAAAGTGCATGTAACTACAGCAGCAGGAAGAATGGTACCGTTTTACTTATTTCCCAGAAAAATATAGGCAGACAGATAGTGCTGGTAGTCAGATGTCAGGCTGCTCAAACCTTTTACAGTAATTTGTGGTAGCTAAAGAAACTAGCAAATTCGTTCTGCAGAACAAAACTGACTGTGTATAAGTAGTTATAATCAAATATGCCTTGTGTCTAATACATATGTATGCATTTAATAATGAGATAAACCCACTTTGTATAGATTTATCAGGCTGTTCCTTAATTAGAAATGTGTCAGAGTCTGTGAGATTACAAGGATGAGTTTGTCTGCAAATTAAAGTTTTGCTAGCTTTCACCCATAAATACCTTATTGTTAAAATGCATAAAAAGGATTCAGGACTTACTCTCAAGAAGCTTACCTTGGAATACTCCTGAGAAAGACTGCATTTATAATGAAATGTTTAAAAAGATTTAATGAAAAGGGGAAAATGGCAGCTTCTTCACTCTTCATTTCCTTCCCTTTTCCATGGCTAGCACAGCAACCTATTCACTTATCATCCAGCAGTCTTTCCCTGGTAGACATGCCTCTGCAGATGGTTCCCTAGGTGGCCTCTGTGTGCCCCATCTCTTCCCCTGGGACTCCTGGGTTGGAGTGTCCCCAAGTCCAGGCTGCAGGTCAGCCCCATGCCTGTAACCTTTGTGTACACTCTGTCGTCATGGTCACTCAGCTGGGGCTTGTGCATGGAGGCTGGACTGTTGCTTTGAAACGTCCGGATGGCTCTTGCCATAGGAAGCTTTGTTGCAAAAGAATTATCTATGGGCAGAGTCAATAGGAAGCACAGGCAGAGTTTCCACCCTGCTCCTGTGGGCTAATGGCTGCAGTTGTGTCACAGATGCCGAAGGTGATCCAGGCTTTAGTATCACACTGGCTGGCCAGGCTGACATATGGGTACTCAGGCATTAGCCTGGTTTTATTCATACCAGGAGACTAGTCTTTTCATGGTTCAAATACCTTGTCATTTCTGAAAATCATGTCATGCAAATAGTGAGGAAGAATGAACTGGCAAAAGTAATCAACCCTTGATTACATTAGCAGAAAACTTTACAAGGCTACTGCAATAGCTCTTAGACTGCATAAAATTAGCTCAGGTAGCTTTGCAGTCTTTCCTTTGCTACCTAATTTTAGAATATGCTAGATCAGCAGCTACCAGCAGCAGTTTTTAAGTTTACTTTATTGCTTAAATTGCTGAAGACTGATGATCTTAAACTCTAGCAACATGAGGTTCTCAAGCACTTAAGATTTTCTTCAAGCACATGTAAGCTTTCCCCAGTTCCTGCTCATATTCAATATTGTATTCATATTGTAACATGAATTGAAAGTATTAGGTGCCAAACATTGCTACATAGCCCCATAAGCCAGTTTTTCTCTTCTGCAAAGGAAGATAACAGTTTATAGAATGAGGATAAAAGCAGGTCCTGAAGTTAACTGCTACAGATGGAGTAGGAGCCTGAGCATCTTCTATAGTTGTGGAATATGCCACCTTAGCAGTTACATCCCTTCTGCCCTGCATGACTCTGTTTTCACACTACTGCGGTTTGCTGCCTTACCTGCACAATATGGGCGTTCTCACAGACCTTATTTCGCTTCTACCCAAGTGAGTGTTTTCCTTGGGCAGGAGGCTCCTCCTGATCAGTGTAATTAGCATGGTCATACTGTCATATGTACTTTGCATAATAAAATACAGGACCCATGGTAAAACCTTTAGCCAGAAAAAATATTTGTAAGTACCTGTTACTTAGGTTTTTATGGGACACCCACTGAGTACCTAAGTAATCAAGTAAAGATGAAAACCTTAGTCATAACATGCTTCATTTCTGAAATGCCTATTCTGAAGCCTTCACATCAGGCCCAGAAAGTGTCTATTTATAAAAGCTGAAAGGGAAAAAAAACTGTAGAGCAGCCAAGATGTTAACATTTTAGTTTGTGGCTTTGCTTGGAATCACTTTCTGTCTTGCTTCAATCCAAAATAATTCTTTGCACAGAGACTGCATGATTTAAATAAAGGTACAAGTTTTTAATACACAGGTATGAGGTTTCTTCTCCATCCATCTTAATGGCATGGTAAACTGAATTGGTGATGTGTTCATGCAGCACTACTATTGTTTGTACATTGCACTTATGTGATACTATTAAATCTGATCAGGACAGTATGTATCATGACAAAACAAATGCAAAGTGCTTTTCTCTAAGAGGATTTTCATCTAGGTTGCTTTGCCGTAGGGAAATAACATAGCAGTAGTTAAGAGCTTCAGCTGCTTACCTGGAGATATTGCCTGTTATCCATCATCCACAAGAATCAAATGGCTTGTAGAAGGAAGATTGCTACTAGCAAGGTGCACTTTGTTAGTTCCATGTACTCAATCCTTTAAAGCAAGAAAACTGCAAAAACCTCTGCAGGAGTGACCTTGCCAGTAGTGTTTAGGGAAACAGTGTTTGCTCTTGGTTTGGCCTGCAGTTACTAGAGAAACTGTCTCTGATTCTCTCCCTTTGCAGTTCATGCCTAGGCTTGCCTGGTGACCCAGGAGACCCATAATTTAATCTGGCTAAGAATGCTTGTGTGGAGTTAGGGGCCTGATCTGAATCCCACTGAAGTCTTTGGATAGATTTCCATTGATTTCAGTAAGCTCCAGATCAGTCCCATGAATGTTCAGATACCGTAAATGCAGTGGTTTTTAGTGCTTTGGGGTTTATTTTTCATTTTGAAAATCTGCTGGGATAGGAGCATAATTTGTTACCAGTTACTTAACAGGTCTCACATTGGGATGGACTGTTCAAAGTTTGCTTTTGGCATTTTGATTCTTAGCCGATTATTATCCAGAGTACCCAGGGCTACATTTTCTTCAAGTCAGTGACAACTGACAGCATTATGAAAGACGTGAGTTTGATGAATCTACCTGATTAAAAGAGACAGTTTTTCTCATCATTGAAATGGGAAGCCAGAAATATACTCTCTGCTATTATGGCTTCAGTGCCATTAACAGAAACACTTTTGAACTCCTGCGTGATAGTAAAAATATGAAGTTAAAAAGTTCTCAGAACCTTACTTCTGTATCAATGACAACTCCAGTAATTAGAGCCAACTGGATCAATTGCTAAGAACTTTGCTTACATTTTCCTGTGTTTGTTGGTATAAATGTGTGCAGTTTGTCCTGGTTTTTGCCTCCCAGCATTCAAGAACTAGCACCTTATTGCCTGACTGATTGCAATGCTGTGATCTGGTTTCTCAGGTGAAGAGTTTGTTTACTGCTGATTTGCTGTTTATGTGTTAACTATGGGAACAAGTTAACCCAACAAAAGGAGGTGTTGTAGGGATTCAGACATCTCCTTGCCTGGCCTTTGTGGAACCAAGTCACTTCACTCTTTTGTCAGAGAATTCTCAGGGCAGGCCTGGACACGTTGGAGAAAGTAAGAAGGCAGGAGACAGTTCAAAGTCCCTTGAACCGATCCCGTAGATCCAAACCAGCTTGGCATTTATTGAGGAAAAGACAGTAACTGAATAATTCCTGAGACTGAACTGTGTCAGGGTCAGATCCCGCATAGAAACTATGATCAAGTCGTGGACTCCCCTTGATACCTCATGCTGATTTGCAGTGGAAATGTTATTTTAGCCTTGATATTTCAAGAATAAAAGAAAAACAAGGTTTATAGGAAGAAGTCATATCTTTTATTAGATTAGAATATGGTACTGTGAAAAAATTACGTGAAAGCAAAGAAATCAGACTAAACAACAACTTCCTAAGCTTTGGCAAGTAAGACGGCATCAGCCCTAGAGGAGTTACAATCTGTTCTTGTGGAACAAGAAAGATTAATGTTATGATAATTACAGTGTCGTGCAATTTTTAAGATAAAGAATACCAAATCTGAGGGCTTTCTAAGGGAACTGTGTTGAGTTAAATCTGCTAGAATTAGTCAAATGCAATTTTAATAAGTAATTAACAAGCCTTGTACTATTTTTTGCATGGTAAACATTTCACGTAAATATTCACAGATACTTATGGAATAGGCTGATGGACACAACAGAAAACAGTGCTAAATCAATTAAATAAACCCTAAAAGAAGGAGCTCTTATTTGAATACAACCATGTAAACTGGAAATAGCTTTGAAAGCAGCATGCTAGTTAACCTAATGGTGCACACCTGAAGATAGTTACATTCCCCAAAGCCACATGATTTCCTATTCTATATAAACCATAAATGAGCTATAGTAGAGGAGAAGTGAGTGGGCAGTGTTTGGGTATTGGTCTTTTTGCTCTGGTATAAGTGCTATAGATTCTTGTAGTGTTAGATGTATTTTATTGATAGCTCTTTGAAGCTGTTTATAAAGTATTTCAGGTTTTCAGTAACTCTGGTCTGACATAGGTAAGGTTTGTGTTCTTTATTGTTTTCAAAAGAGCTATATAGCTGTAAGAACTGCTGGTTGTTATGATATATAATGAGTGCATCTTTTAAACTCTTTTTTTAGTACTCTGTGAATATTTTTAGCGTAAGTACTTTCTAGTAAGACCCTAAATTGGTTTTATTAACCAAGCTAAATTTGTCAGTTGTTTGGCAATTGGGCTTCCTAGTCTTTGTCTGGCATGGCTTATGCAGGTTATGCCATATATATCTCTGGAAACTGATAGCACCTTAATGTTATTAAATCTTTTTAGTGTCTCATCTCTGCTGATGACTATCCAACACCTGAAGCACCTTGTATGCTTAAATTTAAAATGAAAGATGAAATTGCTGCCACAGTCTTTTTCATCACAAGGCTAGTGAAAAAGGAAGATAAGCTGAGCAAGCATAAAATGGAGAAATTTGCAGCTAAGCTGACAGCAGTACTCTTTGAAAAGTATAAGAATCACTGGTACTTGGACAATCCATCCAGAGGGCAAGCTTTCAGGTAAGAGGACCCTTAGTAGAAGGGGAGGGGGAATGAAGTCTCTGCATGATGTTCAAGATGTAGTGAGTACCCTTTCAGTGGCTGGAGCCCTTAAATTGGAATCAGTGCCATGAAAATGAAAGAGAACCACTTAGCTATCCCTTAAGCTTGAGGAAATGAATCAAACTGGTAAGATGCAGTTATTTGAAAGTCACTTCAGTGTGTGCCTGTGTAGGTATGACTAGAGAGCTGAGGTAGAAATCTCAAGACAACATACACAAAATGTTTTAAGTAGTCCTCAGACTTCTTGACTTCTCAAATGAGAAATCCATGTTGTCTAAAACTGACTTGTGGAGTTACTGCAACTGCTTTTAATCCTCCAGGAAATTACCCATGAAGTGAGTCGCTGCATTAAGTATTCAAAACAAACTAAACATTGGATGTATCAATCAGTTTATTGCACTGAATTGCTGGTTGGTGCTATGAGTGAGAACTTGTATCAGCAGCCTGACTGTGTTGTGCAGAACTTGCCAAGTTGTGGTCAAACCTTACGCCCCCCTGCATTTTGTTCTTACAAGGTGTATAAGAATAAACAAGCATCAGACAAGAGATCCACTGCTGGAGCAAGCTTGTGTGCAGAGTAATGTGGACTTCAATAAGCTTGGTTTGCCAAAAGAGATGACAGTATGGGTTGATCCTTTTGAGGTGTGTTGCAGGTGAGTTAAAAGCTGTGGCTAATGCATGCCAGGTGTCCTGTACAGCACTTCATCAACTCCAAGGTTGTTAGTGCAGTCTGCCTCTGAGGGTATATGTACTTACTGATGTCAGCTGACTGGCAATAGATGTCCCTACTGCTAGTGCAGCTGTGTTATACCAATACACCACTTTCAGATATGGAGAGAAGAATCAGCCCTTCACAATTGCACACTTTGAGGGAGAGGAGAACCCAGAACTTCCTCAGCAGATCAGCTGTGCTGTTGAGAGAGCAGCACTAGACTATGATTCCAGCATTTCTTCAGATGAGGAGAGCTTCAACAGGGAGCCGAAAGCTATCCCTACTGTCAGCAATCCTAACAGCGTTTACCAGGTAAGCATACAGTAATGGTATGTAGTTTTCAAGTAAGAGCTAGCATCTGTCCTCTAGGTTCCCTCATGAAGAAATGCAATAGACTTGACACTTGATGACCAGACTAAACCCCCCTTGCCCTTTTGCAAACACATGTTAACATTATCTCATTTCTTGCTGTTTAGTTCAGTGACTACTACAGGACACCCATACAGCCCTGGTCCCAGTATCTTCATAGGAAGACCTATATGACTGATGGCTCAAACTATATCCAGCACAGGGGTCACAAGTTCTACAGATCAACAACTGCTTTCACAGGACTGTATGTTGATAGGTACCACTGGGTCAACCCCAAGCGGTAGATCCGTGGTTGCCCTATTATAGACTGTTGAAACATTGAGCTATGGTGTGTGATGAAGGCTGGCAATACAGAGTTTGATGGAAACAGAAAGCACTTACTGTCTAATCCCTATGTCTTACTTTGTGCATTTGAAAGTTTGGGGTTTTATTATAGTACCTTTTAAATGTTTTATAATGTTAACAAGATTTAAAATTAATATGAGACTCTATTTGTAAGATGAAAAGGAAAAGCATATATCAATAAAGCTGCTCATGTTTTTTATAAAAGCTGTCTGATCTGCTATCAGTGTCCAGAAGGGATCTAAAATGCTTTTTGCTGAAAACAAAAGCAGATTAAGGATGCTAGATACACCCTCCAAGGTGCTCTGAACGATAGTCTACTTTCTTCTGGAGAAGGTAACAAAATCAGCTAGGTTGTGAGTAAATGCTCTACGTGTCACAAGCGGGATCGCTTCTCTGCTCCCCTTTCAGTGAAACTTTGGTATATGCAGCTGGGCTTCTGCCTCTAGACTATAGCTTAACTGTCAGAAGAACACGGCCTTATGAGCACTAAAGGGGTGAATACATGATGTTAGAGCTTTCCAAAGCTACACATCGCCTTGTAGAGAGATGGAGCTGTTATCTATAAGGGTGTTTAGCCTACCACTTTGCAATATTGTGGCACATAGGAAGATGTTCTCATAGTCTGGGACAGCTTGAGTCAAACTATCCTCTACCTAGTCCATAACTGCAGACATATGGAGCCTGCCCTTTTTAAAGTCTGCTTAGCTTTTGTGTTTTGGTGGTTGTTGTTTTGTTTTGGTTTTTTAATGTGTGGGTATTGCTATCTGGGGTGTTCATTAAACTGAGTAAAGATCTGAGGAGAGATGTCTGGATGACTGTAATAGAACTTGTACTCTAATTCCTTAATCCCTTCACTGTAATTACTAGTGGGTGTTTTTCAAGCAAAATCAAGATAAGCATCTGTATGGAGTGAGGGTGCAAACAGTTGGTACAGTGATTCTGAGAGGATGGAATAGATCAGTATTTGTGAAGTTATAATAATCTGGATGTTTACCCTGTTGAATACATTGATGTATAATGAGATAACAGCATGAATGTTGATGGTCTTCAGTGATTCATGAAATTAAATCTTCTCTTGTGCCTCTATGAATTCTTGTATTTCTAGGGAAGGAAGGGCCTTGGGTGACTGCTCTTTTCCCAGCTGCTTTTTACCTAAACCACGGGCTGCTGTGGGCAAAGAGCTGATGTTTCATTTATCAGCAAATACTGAATGTTCCATGTGTTTCAGGGTTTGGGTTTTGAATGTGGGAGGAGGAAAGACTTTTTCCAAGTTTAAGAGCCAGGCTACTCTTTGCTGGTGCAGAACTTTCATTCCAGTATAGGTGGTACTATAGAGCAACTGAAATATGGTGATTTCAGAGCAAGTAAAGGTTGCCTGGGCCAGGAAAGTTGCTTTTAGTTGTGGTGACCATATCTCTTGCTGTGTAACTGTGTAGATATAGTTACTTGAGTTGTAAGTGTGAGGCGTCCCTGACCATGGCAGGGGGATTGGAACTAAATGATCTTAAGGTCCTTTCCAACCCAAACCATTCTATGATTACAGCTTTCACTGTCTCATTAAGTCAGAAGAAAAGTGCAACTGTCAGCTGATGTCTGCAGAGACTTCAGAACATGTAGTGAAGTGATACATTAGTTGAGAATTATTTTTTTTTAATATTAAGTAGTCTTATGAGCGATTGTGTATTTTTCTTCTATTTCTGGAAACCCTTAGTCTGAGCTTTTCCAATAGCATTTGACTCTACCACTTGGATATACCCAGAAATATCACTTAATCTAAAGGCTTGTCACATGAATGATTGCATTGCTTTCACTTCTGATTTAATGAGCCTTTAGTATGAAGGAGGAAAATACACTACAGGTGAAACAAAACCACAAGTTTTTTATTTTCCCTTAAAGCCCGAGGACAGATTCAGAGGACCAAGTTAGAACCAAACCACTGAGTGTTCTCTTGTGTACCACTACAACTTTCTGCCTAGGTCTATTTTCTCTTCTAATGCATTTATTTGTTTTACCAAACAGTCTTTCTCCAAACCAGTTATTTCAAGGTAGTAAAGAAGCAAGTCTTCATTGCCTTTACTCTTTAAAAACTGGTGTTCATCCTCTATGATACGCACCAGCTCCTCAGTTAACACATCCACTTTATCCTCAAGTTCTGATGTGGACAAGTAAGTATGTGTTTCCTCTTCAAAGCTAAAAAAAGAAAGTGTATATAAATATATATGGAAGGGAATGCTAAAAATCATGCAGTAGAAATGCCATTGTTTAAAATGGCATCTCTAGACTCTTCACAAGAGCCAACCAGAAAGACAGATTTCCCTGGAAAGTTTTCTGTTACAGTGAAAGTGATGGTAGCTTAGGGAGAAGTAATCACTCTTTCTGTGACACAGGCTGGCATCAAATCTAAGCTCTCCTTTATAGTAGAAAGTGAGGTAATGATGAAGAGGTGTCATGATTTGTTTTGTATCAACCCCTCCAGATGGTTCAGCTGTTGCTGTCTTTCTACAACTGTTACTAATACTTCTTATCAAATCACTCTTACCGTGTCCTCCATCCAGACCTGCCCTTTTCATGGCTGCTTGAGGTATGAAGGAAATGCTCTTTTTTCTTCACAAGCAACTTGTCATTTACTGGCTCCTCAAATTCTGTCTGGAGTGAGATGTTGTTCTTTGTGTTATGCAATAAGCACAGAAGTAAAGAAAGCAGATCAGTGTTACTTTTACAAGCCTTTATCTGATTTCTTAGGGAAGGTGTACTTTCAACAAGACCAGGTCTCATGATATTTCTTATTACCTGCTCAAAGGCTTCCATGTCTGTGAGGCTTTTCACTTTGACCTCAAAGAGTTGGGAGATGAGTCTTACTTCCTCCTTGGAGAATGGTTCTTTCTTTAGCAACAGCTCATTTATTCCATAACATTTATCACCCTGGCGAGCTGCTGACAGCTGGAGCCTCAGAGAGAATGTTTCAGTAAGACAAGCCTTTAGTGCCTAGAAAATAAGAACTTAACAACTGAAGCCAACTACCAACAAAAGCCCCTAACCTGTATTCAGGCAGGATATTAATACATGATATGGTGGATTTTTCTACTGAATTGCTGCCTACAGCTACAGTGAAGAAGTGTTCTTTAGCTACTGAACATGATTCTTTCTGGTGTACAGACACTGTGTAACAATAATAGCAGTTCAGGTAACACTTAGCTATTTTTATTGTATCTCTCCTTTTAATTTTTATTATTGGAAGCTCTACAAAGATGTTAAACCCTCCCTTTTAAAATGGCATATTTTTTTTTTTTACAAACACTGCTATAATGTAATTACTTCTGGAATGTGTTGACGTACCTGATGAAAAAGCCTCAGAAAGAGTGGGTTGGTGTCATGGTTGAAGTCAGCAGCAGTGATATGAGCTAAGCAGTGCACAAGGAGGAGAAGGAAACTTCCTACAGAACTCAGGCAATCCTTTAAAATGAACAGCTTGTGCTTTGAATTCTGAGAAATAACAAATATCCAGAGCTGAGATGAGCACAGCAGTAGCCAGCTCAGCTGATGGAAATCTTCAAATGGTTTGTCTCAATCTTAGTGAAGTTAAAAGATTCAGATTAGAGTCCTGGGGATAGCCATGTAGACACGAGAGCACCATTGTCATAAAGCACCATTTAATTACTCCATGATGCAAATCTAAAGCATTCTTGCATTCTGTATCTAGACAGTTTTATATTTGCATATTCTGAGCTTCTCTCTCACCATCCCAGAGTAATAGAAATAAATAACACTAGACAGTCAGATTCTGTAATTTAATTATAGCAAGTAAAGTGCCAATACACTGTTGATCTCTATAAAGCTGACTGTAGAGAATTTGGGAGAAATGGAAGTGGTAGAATTTGGACATGAGAAACAGGGTAAGCATTGCTGATTTAATAAATGTGCTTTGGGTATGACCTTCCTATTAAACATCTATTCAAACCCAGTATCCTGGAGTGCTCTGTTTAGTTTGTGTTCAGATATATCTGGAGTATAGCATTAACATGTGAGAATTTCTTAGATCAATATTTTTTTCCTAGAGAGCATCAAGCATATTACAAATTGAAAAGTATGAAACATTTTTGCATTTTATTTCTTATTCCCGTAACTTAATGGATACAATAATGAGAGAAATTGCTAGATGTGAAGTTGACAAACCTGATAAAAGAACGAGTTTCTGAAAGCATTGCCGGTGACATTACTAAGAGGTATGCTGGAGGCAAGACACAGGTTAATTTCTGGAGCCTGCAAAGAGAGGGAAAAATGCTTCTGTAAAAAGTGTGTATGTACATCAAATCTGCAAAGTAAGATGGGATTAATGGGATAAAAGTTCATTTAAATGTCAGCTTTGATTTGCGACAGGTTCACAGAGCCAACAGCTAGCCCTGAAAATGGAGACTGTTTAAAAAAATCAGCTAATCATAGCAGTTCATCTTGCCAGTTTTCTATTTAAGTAAATGAAAGTCTACTCTAGCCCTGGAGCTTTTGCTGTAGTCACCATGATTTTTATTACTTTTTGATACTCTTATGAAAGACCCTGGAGAGTTTACCTAGGCTAAAGCCATAGTGTGCAAACTATGGAAAAATGAAAGAATCTTTGTTCCAAGTTGTAAAAGAAAACATGTTATCACAGTATTATGCAGTATGCAGGGATTTGGTAATGCAAGAATTAAGCATGTGATCAAGAAAGATACCACAATAAATATAAGAACTGATCATGGATTGTGTGGGAGAAAGGGTTGACTTCACAACAGTCCTACACCATTGTGGAGAAAACAAATGAAAGTCAATCCCCGATGCTTGCATGCTAGTCCTTTCCTGTTTCCTCTTACCTTATAAGATCCTTTGAAGCCTGTTGGCTGAAGAATTTTTATTATAAACATCATGTGAAAGCATGATAGTTTAATATATATAGATGAGTATATTAAAAACTTACATCAATGTGAAATCTGAGAAACCGTAGGATGGAGATGCCGTACTGATAGATGACAAACTCTCTTGGAGAAAGGGTTGCAGGATCAACTACTGTTAGTTCTTCTTGAGTCGTTAAGGCATCCTGTATACCTTGATAAGTACTTGCTTTTTCTGCAAGAACAGTAGCATTTCATTAATTGGTTTTATATTTTTGTTTCCTTTGTCCGAGAGGTAACAATGCAATACAAGTGTACTGCATTTCTCATCTCGATATGAAGATAAACCCCAAAATTTCACTTTTCCTAGTGAAATTTCTCATAATTAAGGCCTAGAATGGTGACATTAAGCACATGAGTGTGTGTCAGAGCTGATCAGCAGCAAAGTCAAGGTCATTCTGTGTTCTGACTTATTCAATGGTAGAACACTTTTTCAAAAGACAGCAACTTTATGATGTTTGTTCAGCAAAGTCTCACCATAATAAACACAATCAACAGCTACTTGAATGATGAAACTGAAATCTTCACATTACACTTAAGTTCTTACTTTCTGGTATAAAAGAACAGAGCTGAAATTTACTTTTGTCCAGCCTTTGGCTTTCTAACAACCCAGCTGCCACTGCATGACTTCGGAGCTCATCGTTCACATCTTTCACAAGACCAAGAAGAAAAGAGGTTTTTATACACTCAGTTTTATCAGCACCTGTGTAAACAAAAATGGAAATACTGCTTTCCTAAGCAATCCATCTCTTAGTGTATTTTTTCTTTAGAGAATGTTTCACACACTGAAATTACATAGACAAGTAAGGCAAAACAGGCAGTTTTGCTGCTTAGAACATGACATTGAACTCTACGCAAAGATGTTAATGTTGCAGAGAAAATATCTTTCTAATCAAAACTCTTTACATTATCCAATGCACTAGTTTTATCTTTTTTTCATGTATCTCAAACATTAGATGGAAGTCTGCTTAAAAAGGAAGAATGATATGTTGAATTAAAAGAAAAAACCCCAAACAAACAAAACCAAACCCTAGCTCTAACCACTGACAGAATACCCTCCCCAACAGTTACTAAATATGTTCTTTGTCACCAATGCAAATGAGCAAAAAAATTCTATCTGCCTTGAACTCTATAAATAGTGACTTTCTATCAAAGTGTCAAATTCTGCATCTGATCAGAATTGATAGGATTTTTTCCCCCCTAGCTAATAAATACAACATTTGCCTAAATTCTCTAAACCCAGTATTTGGTTTATTATAAGGGCTCCATCATTGCTAATTCAGTTACAGGCTTATGCAGATACCAGATGTGGCTCACGTATTGTTAAGCAACTAAAAAAGAGGTAGTTGGCATGAAAAGAAGCCTCTTGTGAGTTCATTTTGTGTACTTCTATGTGTGGGGTAGTAGCCAATAAAGCATCTGAAGGTTTTTACCATACAGAGAAGGTGGTGTGAGCTGTGGATTCAGAAGAATGATCCTGGATGCCATCAGGTGTTCTGCCTGCTTCAGCACCTTGATATCTGTGAGAACAGTATTTACTAGTTCATTACTGCAAACAATTCCAGGTAGGTTTCTGTCTGTTCCTGTCATTGTTCCATAAGCTAACCTCAACTTTTCTATGTAGTATTTGGGCCTAAGGCATCAGTTTATAAATCAGATGTTAGGAATGAAAGTTGTACTTTTTGACCAAATGTCTAATTTTTGAAAGAGGTTTAAAACCAGAACTACGTTGGAATCTCTTCAAGGGGCTAGATAAGGAAATCTTTCCCTGTCATTCTGATAATTTTGTTACTCTTTGAACTGTTTGCTTTTCAGGGTGATAAGGGAGCAACAAGGCCAACTGGACTGCTTGATGTACTTAGTGTACGCTCTCCTTAATTTTAGTTTTGCTGCATGAGGAAATTATTTTTCATCAGTTTCAAATTTTTTTTTTGGCCATATTTCTGTGTTTAATGGAATTCCAGGACTGTGCTATCCCACTTTATCAAGCTAATGAGTAAATAAATGCCTGTTTACTTCATAGCAAAATTGTTGGAAAAGACTCTGAAGTATTAAGCAGTTGATCACATGTGATAGGGCAACTGATCCCTGTGGAACCTTTTCAATTCAAAGAAGAGGAAGTTCTCCTGCTTACCAAGTAGCTGCTGATGTTTCAAGAAAAGCATTACAGAACTGCTAACCCTAAGGCTGGAATAAGCTCAGCTCTGCAGATGCATAAACATCGTCTAGGTAAGGGATTTAATTTTATTCACGTCCTAGAAAAAGCAAGCACCTATATAAGTATCCAGCTTTACATTTGAATTTTGATAATACACTTTACTTGAAAGGGTGAAACCCTGATATCATCTGAGCTGAAAATCCTATGCCAAACCTGACTTACTCTTAGTCAAGAACAATAGGAGCTGGTCATCTGCCTTGTGATGTATCCCTGGGACCGAGTAAGAGTTGGTGATGGATGAGAGAGGGCTGTTGCTTTGCTGAGTCTCTTTTTCTTTTTTTGCTTCTTTTGGTTTCATTCTCAACCTCTGTAAATCTGGGGGAAAATCCTTTCCAAAGAAAGCTTTCATTTCAGTGCATTCTTTCATGAGGTTCTACAGTGAAAAGAAAGGAGATACAAAAGTAAGTACTTATAAAAAGCACAATGGAAATTTCATATTTGGTTCTATGAGAGCTTTTCTTTACTTCTCCCCTTGCATAAACCTGGGGTCTGTATTTTAGAAACTTCTACTCCTTTGCATTATTCAATTGCCTGAAGACAATATTAAGCAGCAAATACAGAGACCTCCAGCAGACTGTCATCTTACGGAGTGAAAGGTTTCTGGCAGTACATACTTTGTGTAGGGCAGACACTAGCTGCTAAGTGTGCTTTCTACAGTTAAATTTCTCAAACTCTATAATGATTAGCACTCTGTGTGAGATACGCCATTGCTGGAGTACCAGTCTTTGTAATCCTTCAGTAAAAAAAGAGGGAAGCTGCGTGAAAGGAGGTAGTCACACTGTACCCTATCGTGCTACTCAGCATATGCTGTGGAACCAAACTGTGTGGGCTTCAAGGTGACATTTTTGTTCTGAAATGAAGAAAACTCTTTTAAGATCTATTGGTTCCCTTGTACTTTCACTTGGGGGGCAGCCTACTTTTGAAAGCTGTGCTTCTCCTATCCCTTTCCAGCTACTTAGTCTTGCATTCCTAATCTCTACATTTAACCATTTTCATGTATGTGTCATGACTTCAGGACATAATCCACACAATGTAGCTGCAATCGTGTCTCATTACCATTATGCTATTAAGCTAATATGCATCTGACACAGCCTGTTAAATTAGAGAAAATTTGGGATTTGCTGTTTTCTAACCTGCAATGGATCAAAATGACTTGAAATAGTCATCTTTGTTCTTTTACTTCCCAGGAAGAGTTTCAGCTGTTCCTCCAGCCTTCTCATTTTCTGCTGTCTGAATTCTTTCAGTTCATTGGCTATGATGTTAGCTTCATTCAGAAACTAGAAGTCACAAAACAAACCGTAAGATCTTGGAAAGAGTGATACTTGGAGAACAAAGTCTTTTGTGCAGTAACAGCAGCAATGCAAATTATTTGGCATTTTCTGAATAAAATTCCTAGGTAATATATCTTTAGTTTTACCTTGTCCTGCATGCAGCCTTTTAGATTTCTGACTATTTCCTTAAACTGTGTCTCTCTCAGTTGTAACAACCTTGCAGTTTGTATAAATTCCAGCACTAAAAATATATACTCTGTGTTGTCCTTCAGGAGATGTGAAATGTCCCTGGTGTCATCACTAATCGATAACTCCTGAAAGATAAAATGGTCGTGTGAAACAGAACATGAAATTTGTGAACCTTCTTTGGTTATCTTACTTTCTCTGCAGTACAGTGAGAGCAGATTTAAGTCAGAGTTTTTGCAAATGCCATAAAGGAAGCCAGGTAACTGTATTTTACAGTCTTGTGCATCGTTTATAAAAAAATAACTTAAGATTCTCAAAGGAGTTCTAAGTAAATCTATGTTAAAACGTGGATCTGAAGTATCTGATCTTTAGTAGCTATGTCCAAGGCTTTTCCAGTTCTTTTTGGCATAAGAAGTATAATATACTGCAATCTGGAGTTAGCTGTCCCTTCTCTATAAATAGACACAATTCCTGAGAAGTTTGTAAACTTCAAAGGGTAGTGACAACATACTGGAGGAATTCCAGATTCCAAACCAAACTATCAAGAGAATTTTACTTCTACAACAAGCTGTTCCAGGCCTGTGCCCTCCTTTTGGGACCTCAAGGCAATTTTCTTGAGCTTGTAACAATCTTGTAGCAGAACGACTGTTTGCCGCAGGTGTCTCTGAGATAGGATGAAGTATGCCATGAGATTGCCTAACTTCTCTCCTTCTGTCTCCTGGATCACTTGCATTTCTTTGGCTTGCATCTGGAAAGAAAACATTACAAAGTCTTACAGATTACTTGAAGACTTGTGTCTAAGTGTGGAAATGTTCCAGTTCTCACTGCAGGTGTGAAAATAGGAATCGGGGGGGGGGGGGGGGGGGGGAATGAAGTGCCCTGAAGAATAACGAAACCTATCAACTTAAAATGGGACTTCAAAAGGTTTCCTTTGATGGCATGAGTCAAATAGTTGTGAACCACATAAAACATTGCTGAACCTAAAATAACATGCCCAGAGATTTTACTTAAGTCTCATCCGTCTGTATAGCTGTTGGCAAATGACAATACGATGCTTTAGCTGATGTACCTTTTCTTCTGTTTGTGCTTGAAGTTCCAGTCTGAATTGTGCCTGCATGTTTCTCAGTTCAGCTTCTGACTCTTCCTTTAAACCTTTAAGCAAATCCCCTTCCTGATGATGCCTCTGGAGAAAAGCCACTGCTCTCGCTACTTGCTGTTTCTCTATACTATGAGCAACCTCTCGGGCTGCTTCTTCACCATTATTTTTGTAGCCAAAACTGTTCAGGATCCTCAACACACCTTCTGGACAAGTCAGAATCTGGAACAGATAAGCACAGTTATAGGAGCAAATAAGTTGTGTTTTATAGACACGAGCTTGTTTCCAGCATTAGGTTTGTAGTGGGTGTAATTGACAGGGCTTTTGACAGCAGGGTTTTGCCATGTGCCTGCACATATGCTCCAGCCTGTGTGCCCTGCACATCCTGTAGGTTGTCAGGCAGGATGGACATCTGGGCACTCACAGGCTGTGTGAATTACCTTTGAGAGGCTCATGCAGGGACGGGTGAAACATGAAAATCATGAAATGCCTCTACCTGAAGGCTGCTGTAGACATCCAGGACTCTGTACAGACATGTTTGCCTCAGAGCTTCCAGCTTTACTATCTTTGCTGCTGAAACTTGTAGTATTTGAGTTAGAGAGTCTGGTGAATGCTTGACTTCCCAGGAATGTAGTTTCTATCAAGCAAAAGAGAATAAAGGGCAAGGATTTTCTACACGAAGTAGCACTGTGGTCACCAGGATTAGTGAAATCCAGTTTCCTACAGAATTGTGATGGGAAGTGTGAGTCAGTTTGGACTAGTCTTTTCTCTAAGGGGCTCCAGTGGAAGCTTTTCCTACTTATAAAGGCATGGAGTCACTGCAGGTTTTCCTCACAGGGGTTTTTAAAGTCTGCTTGTCTCCTCTACCTGCCTGTTTATTTGCATCAAATTTGTAAGTGCTTTAGTTTCCAAGTCCTCTATTCCCCTGCAAAGTTAAGTGAAATCAGGAAATGGATTAAAAAGTTTGGCATTAGCTTAATAAGAGATAAGCAGACATCTGCTCCCAGAACAGATTTATAAACTGTAGAATTACTCTCTGCATTAGTAAAAGCTGCCTGTATAAATAAGGTTGTCTCAAAGGTGGAATTTACCCACCTGGAGCATTTAAGTTATGCCTGTAGCTGCTCTGATAGTACAGCCACTCATGTAATGCCTAAACTTAGTATGTGTGTTTGTATCACCCAGTGAAGATTACATTCATTCTTGCAAAGCAGTGAGGTGACGATAGCAGGACTAGCATAAAGAAAAATAAGCAAATGCTTTAAACTCACTTGCTGCTCAGTGAAGTTAGAATCTGGGATTTGTAAACCAAGAAGACAAAATGAGAACTGATGCGGAATTTCTTCCAGGAAATGCAGGGTCTGTTTGGGCAATATTAAGTTTGGGCTGAGACCTGAATGCTTGATTTCTTCCAGTTGTTTCTGACGGAGGCTTTGTTCAGTGTGGTGGTGGTGTTCTGACAGTTCTTTCAGAAGTGAGTCCTTTGTGCTGGTTGCTTCTGTTCCTTTACTGGTCCTCATCCCCTGAAATTATAGACATAGCACCTGAAACATCTTCATGATCAGGAGCAGCAAAGAAATGAGAATTGAGTCATATTGAATCTGAGAGCTAAAAATCGTAGCCAAAAACAAGACATCAGTGTTTGTTTAAGTAACCTAAGTAGCCTGATTTACTGTGGAATTAAGTACCCAAGTGTTATTGAAAATAAGGCCACTGTTTCTTTTGCCTTCACATTGAGAAAAAAACCCTAGTTTAGTTTCTGTTTTGCCTTGCAGCGGTCATAACAGAAGATTTCTTTCTTCTTTAATAAATCCCCTTTTGCATCAATTTCCTTTTTGAAAGTCATGTGGGAAAATTGAAAGGAATTCAAAAAGGTAATGGAAAACTTTATTTTCCTGTGTATCAGCTGAGAACTCTAACACAATGCCAACCTTACCCAACTTCCTTTATGGTATTCCTTTTCCTCAGTCTTGGATAATTCATAAAAGGCAAAGATAGTGTTTATTTCTTCTGTCAGTAAGGACAGTTCCATATGTGCCAGTTCACAAGCATGCTTCTCAAAGAAAAACCTACAACCAGATATGCATGAGACAGGACTGAAGAGACATCACTAATTTTAAATAGTCATTACTATGAGGCACCTCTAAAATTCATATGTACATTGCCTGGAGAACAAGCAGTAGACTGTAATAGGTATCTTCTGTTGAGCCACATGCAAAATCCAAATATAAGCCTGCTAGGGATGAAAGCTTTTACACTTGCAAAGAATATATATATATTTTGTAACTGAAAGTGCAGAAGCAGTTAAACAAGGATTTCTTACCTTGTCTGGATTTCTTGTTGTACGTGACTGGTCCTTTCTGAAAGTGAAGTGGGCAGAGCAGGTGAGGCTATGGAAACTGAAGCAGTTTCCTGACTTGTTTCAGCCCTTAATGCCTCTGAATGAGCACCAGATGCTTTTAAAGTGGTTGATGAGTAGCCTGTAGAAGACAACAGAATATATTTACTGCTGAGTCATTATTTGGGTACAGTAAAACCCTATTACACACTTAGGATTTTTTTTTTCCCTTAAGTGTACAGTATTCAATAGTTAAAGTAGCAGTGCTCTTGGGCTAGAAGGAAAAGCAGTTGAACAGCTTGTATTCTTCATTTCTATTTGCTCATATACGGCAGGCAGACTTGTACAATGTAATATCCAATTTTAATATTCTCAGCAGGGGAAGTAAAAGCTTTGCTATTCATTGTTAGGTTTGTACTGCATTTTCTCTTGTCAAACTGAGGTTAGATTTTCCGTTCTGCAGGAGCTGCAGAACTAAAACCATAGAGATAGTTCAGGTGTATAAAAATAATGCTTTTTTTTTTTTTTTTAAATTTCCAAAGATTAAAGCAGCCTACCTGATGTCTCAGGTGATATACTGCTTTTGCTGTTTTCCTCCAGCATCCGAACAGTAGACTTGAGTAGCGGGATCAGGTTTTGTTGGATGACCTCATGTGTATTGTGTGAGATCCCACAAATGCCATAAAATCTGGTTGTCTGATAGTTTTCAAAACACTGTTGCGACCCAGAGAAAAGCACCTGAAACAGCATAAAGCAGACAAACCCCATTTCATGCCTGTCAAAGGTATAATTGAAAAAAGCATCCTGGCATTCTTTCTGTTCTTACGAAAACCTTATATTTTCAATTCATAGCCAGGCCTATGCGAATTGTGCAGTGACTCAAGAAGATGCTACAGCACTTTGCCTCAGAAGATTAAAAGCCTTTTGCAACGGTTACGGTCCCGTAGCTCCCAGCTCCCAGATTTTTCCATGTCCTTCAAGCTGCGCTTCTTCCCTAGGAAGTACAGAACTTCAGGTATCCAGCTGTTTAAAATCTCTCAGCAAATAGTGAAACTGACAACTTGGCAGTTGGACTAGATGATCGTTGTAGGTCCCTTCCAAGTGAATTGTGCTATGTTATTCTATTCTAACTTTTTTCCTAACTCTGCTGTTGAAAATCTGCCTTTTGAAGTGAAATTTCATTGAATTTCCAAGCATCAAATTCTTTGATATTTACTTTATAAATCCCATTTTGGAACTCTCATTTAAGTTTTTTGTTATTTTACAGGGTTCTGATTTCTTGCAGCAGTGTTCTTGGATGGATATTCACAGAACATGGCAACTGCTCATGCTTTTGTTAGAAAGTAAGTAACATGATTGTTTTTTATTTGCCTCAAGGTGAAATCAGTACCTTTGTCTGCTGCATTTGGATATTTGACAAGTCCCTCAAGTATTCCAGTTTGGCGTATGCAATCTCCACACTAGCTTGTTGTTTCAGTATATGTTGCTGAGATTCAGAGGCTAGAGCAAGTATGGCCTGGAAGAAACGACACAAAATATAAGCCTGCTTCAAGTGAATTGCAAATTCTTGCTTTCATTTTCTTTCTTACAATATGGCAAATCTCTAGCTACAAAGCTGGTGTATCTGTAACAACTCTAGAGCACTGGTCTGGATAGCCCTTAAAGATTTTATATGGTAGGTTGCATTTATTCTCTGTCAGTGACTGCTCGGCTCCTAACAGTGCCTCTCAAAGGTAGAGCAGAGTTCTGTGGATTGAGACTGAGGATCTTCAGCCCAACCCAGCAGTGACCTCACCTTTCTGAGCTTCAGGTTTGTTACTGTCTCAGTACTTAAGATGTGGATCTTTTGCTTTTCTCTCTCTATCAGCTGCATGTATATTCGTTCTTCTTCTAGTTGCATCTTTTCAGCAAACTCCATCAGCTTTTCCAGTGCTTTTCTGATCTCCAGCAGAACCTGTATTTCCTGTTCTTTTTCATCTCTGTCAGCTATAAACAACAAATATTAGCAGTAGCACCCATCTGATGATCTGGAAATTCACAGAGCAAATCCAAATATGCCTTCTCAATGTGCTTCACTGCACCTACATTCTTTATCTTTTAGAAAATCACAATTTTCAGACACTGCCTCTGTGTTGTCTTCCTGCAGGAGGACAGAAGTAGTTTGTAAGGCTTAAGCTAACCTGTTGGAAGGAGCAAACATCACAGAAAACTATGTACAACCCTGTCTCCCTCTCCTCTGGTTGCAGTTACCCTTTTGTACCTTTGAATAGCAAGGATAGTTCAGTAGCCAGCTGGCTACTAAAGTATTTTGAAGTTCGTCTCTCAACTTCCTGCAGAGAGGACTCTTTGAGAAAATGGCATATTTCCTCAATGCCTTTCACTTTTTCCTTGTATTTTACCTGCAAGAAATGGAAGAGGAGTGGGAATTTTAGATAATGTTGCAAACTTGTGAGATAATGACCTGATGTGATACTCTTTCCTCTGACAGATGAGAGCAAAGGGTTGTTGAATTTGGCTCTTGCTTTTTCCTAGCCTTTTAATTATCCTGATTGTGTAGAGACTGACTTCATAGCCCCTTGTTTCTGATATAAACCACTATGAACTGTGTTGTCTTTGTGTAGCTGGAAATGGTTGCACTGAAGTAGCGACGCCTCCGTTTACAGTTTTGGTTTCCATCGTACTGGAGGGCAGAGTGACTGGAATTCAGAGCACCACCACCTTGGGTACAGCATCAATGATATTTAATTTGGTATGTGCGAAGAAGACTGCCTTAACAAAGTTTTAAAGACCTTTCCTGAAGCCATCTGCAAAATAAATGCACCATACCTTCTGTGCTTTTCCCTCTTTTGCAGCATCAAGGACATGAAAAAACAGTGAGTTAAGCCTCTTAAGAAGCCCTTCTTCCTTTTTTCTCCTGCAATGCCAGTATATATGCCTTGAGTTTATTTCCTTTTCTAGAAAGTCCAGCTGTAAAGCAGAGACAGACATAACAGTTCAGATTTGCAGGAAGCTGATAGATTATAAACTTCATTAAAGCTAGTGATGTAACCTGCATTCAATGCTTTCGGCAGCATATATACAACTTTGTTGCCCCAGAGGATGAATGCTTTGCAGTGCTAAGTCTCTGTGTGTTATTTTGGGGTAGGGTAAGGATATGAACTAGAGAGTACAAGAATCAGCAGAAGAAGATACAGGTAGGGCAAGAAAAAGTTGATAATGAAGAGATGTAAGTAAAATGGCATACATGTATTTCTGTTCATCTTGCACTGTAAGAAAATACTACTTATGGGGCATAGAAAGAACTAAAATTTCCTCTGTAGTGGAAAAGCGTCAGCAAGAAATCTCCCACAGATCTCAAACCTGTAAATAAAGATAGTTTGCTAGAGCTATAATTACCAGATCTGGATCTGTAGCTCTTCTTGGTAAAGCTCCAAGAGACTGAACAGTAGGAATTATATTGTGTGTCCAGGGGTTGGTTTGGGCACCTATAACAGGCCCAGTTTCACCTGTAACTGGACTTATGGTTCTGGCACCAATAGCGATAGGGACAAGGCCTGTGAATAAAGAAAGACTAAGTATAATACTTCGAATTTAGATCATGAATTCTAGCTGCAGCCCTAGCTGGCAGCTTTTAAGTTCAAAAGGAACTGAGAATGACTTCAAATCACCCAATGAAAAACAAACTGAATTTTCCTGAGCTGAAAATGCTATGTACCGGGTGTTGGACCACTGCACTGCAGAACTTCATCTTCAGATAGCATCAGTTTACTGCCATGTCACTGAGAATAACATCAGAATAGTTCTCCTAAAGAGTACAGTAGATTTTTGAAGGTATGAAAGCCACCGTGTGATTTGGTCTCAGTCCTAGCTCTCCTTCGCTGTTACTCTGGTGTTGCTTGTTCTGAATATATACACCATGAAAATTGGTATTTTCCATTTAGCATTGAAGTAGAAACTCATCTATTTTGGTAGGGTGTTTTCCTCACCCTGAAAACAATGTGTCCTTGTCTCTCTATTGTTTACATCATTCAAATCAATTTCATACTCTACCTTTTCCATTTCTATCTTCCATGGTTCCTGCAAGTGGAAAAGGCTGCCTAGTATTCCAGTCACAGTCTATTCCCAGAATTGGCACCATCAAACCAGACCCACCAGGATCTGGGATTTTCATTCCAAACACTGCAGGGATCCACATCTCTGTGCTAGGATATTTGATCATACCTAGTTTGTTAAAAAAAAGATGAGAAACATAAACCATTAAATAGTCTTGTGATAAAAAGAACTGTTTTCAAAGGCTTACAGTGCTGATATCTTGGACAAATCCTGTGATGTAAATGGGTGCATTGCTGTAGCCTTCAGTGTAATGACACCTGTTTACTCCTTAAAACAGGCTGGTTGTTTTATACGTACCCAGTTTACCACCATTACTTTTGAGACTTGAAGCTATTTGCAGTTTTTTCTCCAGGCTTCGCAAGCAATGTATTGCATGATAAAACTTAGTAGTGAAAGACTTCTTCATATCTTCTACTGAAGCCTTTAGTGCTGCTAATCTGTCTGCTACCAGACAGGTATCTTCCACAACTGATGCCTTAAACTGTTCTATAGCATTCACCACATGGCTTTGTGATACCAGCCAGTCAGCTTCCAGCACTGCTTGGTAACTTCCACTGTGGGGCCGCACCTCATCTTGCCGGAGGTGAGCTCCGTGTACCCGGGTGGTTTTCCCACTCAGAGGTTCGGTGAAGGCATCTCCAAGCAGCATTATGTTTCCAGAAGGACCCACCAGCCCACCTAGAGGTATAACTTCTCCTGCAGTCAAGAACAGGAAATGAGAGTCAGAATATCACCTGGCAACTTGTCATTATGGTCTGGTCCTTCCCGTTCCTAAAAAGGCACAATGATAATTCACTTCAATTGAAGTTAAAATAGGTCTTATGAGCAGTGCATACCTCACTCAGTGACTTGTGAAGGGCATTCACCTACCAGTGTTACTATCCAAACCGACTCCGAGTATTGGAACAATCTTGCCTCCCTTTGGCTCAGCCATCGGACCCCCGATCTCCAGAGGTGTCAACATGCCAGTGAGGGGGTTAAGATACGTCCCACCAACAGCCAGCTTTTGCCCAGTGTGAGGATGAATCGTAACTCCAAGCACTGGAACTTCTATTTCCGTCACTGGATCTAACATCAGTCCTCCCATAGCGAACAGATTTTCAGAACACAGGACTGGAAGTTTTGTCTTCACAGGTAGGCCAGTGTTGGGACAAACCGGGTAAGGAATGTAAGGGAATATGGGCACTTCAGCCTTCTGACGCTTACCTGTGTGTAGAACCAGAAGAAATTTAACATGGTTATGCAAAGTAATGCTAATGACAAGGAAGCTCTAGAGCTCAGAATGGAGACTATGGAGCTTTCAGAGGATGCTGATAGTAAAGGTCTGTTGTCTTTAGGTCCAGAATGAAATGAATGAATTTCTAACAATTGAATGTTTTTTTTTTTTAATATAATTTTTAATTTGGCTACTCCTTTAAAGTTGCAAGTTTCTCAGCTTATAATGGTTTGTACAGTTTAATGAGGAGAGGGGCTAAAAAGTGTCAGAAACAAGGAATGCCTATCATTTCCTTTTATACAGACCATCTAATATGTCTTATCCACAGTAAGTGGATAAGTACTAGATGAACAATACTTCTAATGCCATGCTAATTAGAAGCTTTTGCAGATTTTCTTTAGGTTTTGTTATGGGAAAAGTATACGCAAGTATAGCACGTTGTGGTTTTCTGTTTGTTTGCTGTTTGGTTTTTGTTTCATTTTAACCAGTGCTCCACTAAAACTCCACGAACAGGCAGTTAGAATAATTATTATTGCTTTGTGGCACTTACCTGAAGCAGAATCAACAACACAGACCAGCCTGGATATGATGGGATCATAACCAATGTTGCCAGCTACATAAAGGACCTTTCCAGTCTCAGGATGCAGAAAACAATCACTAGGTACTGGCCCAGGGCACTGCCCAGTCAGCAGCATGGTGCAGTGTGGGTAGGGATTTAACAGTCCAGTGATGGGATCCATGCAAACAACATCAGGTGCTCCAGCAGTGCCATTTGAGCCTAAAAGCAGTTTACAATAGAAGAGCAGGGTGGCAGATGTGTGAATAAAGAAACTGATCTTTCTACTGCCTTTTACAGAAGATTCTACATGCAATAATACTAGAAAGCAGACAAACACATTGGATTACTCTGATGCTGATTGAACTTATTGAGACTTGTCTACAGAATAGTTCATTTCCCTCTCTGTTGCCAAGAGATAATTAGCAAGCACCCAGCAAAGATTTTGATAAATGCACATCTGACATTCTTCCTAAGAAACAACGTGGAAGAGTTCTGCTGATGAGTTTGGTTTTGTAACAACCCCTTAATGCACAAGTCGTTACTGGATGAGGACTTGGTTTTCTGAATACAATCTCTTTTGACTTTGCTATTAGTTTTTTGAGATCTAGCTATTTTTCATGACCTGTATTTTGTCACCTGTGCTACACCACCCCGCCTACAATTCCTTACACATTCACATCATTTTCAAACAAATTTCTTGAGGTTGTAGTTACCCACTAGCTCCTGCTTGGTAAGTATCCTGGTTTTAGATTTATTAAGAAGGTGGGCTCCCATTCCATCACCCAGCACGCCCCATGCTTTGAGGCGGTGACTCTCTTTTGTTATTATGCTTGACATCTCGCTGCTTGCAACCTCTATCTGGGTTAATAGGCTGAAATTCAAGATATAAAGATGGTTACTTTGCCATTTGAAGATAAGGTAAAACAATTTAAAG